CGGCACTTGGCCTTTTTGAGCCTCATACAATTGACCTCAGCCCATCGATCCAGCCTGTCCAGAGCCCTCTGCAGAGACCTTCCTACCCTCGAGCAGACCAACACTCCCACCCAATTTCGTGTCGCCAACAGAAGGTTTGTGTTCCTATAATTTACCTATTCAGCAGCTGCACCACAGAGTACAAGGAAGTCCCCTCTAACAAGCCTCCCGCGATGCTGCCATCTCAGTTCCCAGCGCCCCAAGAAGTACGTGTATGGTCTTTGCTGTAAGCACATGACGATTCCAAAAACTTACAGTGTGGGAACGTAACTCCTGCGGGGCACGCCAGGGTGTGACACGGCTGTACATTTGCAACTGCAACCGTCCATACTCACACTCTTCTCCAGCAGAAAAACCCCAGCCCTCTAGGCCACTTCTTTTAACATGAAAGGAAAACAAAACTGAAGTGATAGATCCCATTCACAGTTTCCAGCAGTTTTTGCCTCCCCCTTTTTTTTTTTTAAATAAATAAAATTGAGTCCTTACTTAGTTTTCGGATTAAGAAGTATTATTAAAAGTAGTTACAGAGCCAAGTACAACCCTTCAAACACCACCAAAATGCACTACAATATTCTTTTATTTAGTTTACAGAAGAGTCTATCAGTACAGGTTGCAGAAAGAAAATGTTTAGTGCTATTTACAATTTGTTTTAAAACTCTGCTCTATACAAATTTAATTCTGATCAGTATGAACAATATTTTTGTAAATCTACTGCATATAAAGCATTTCATCAAAGCAGTAACAATGAATAAAATAACCTGATTACATTTGAATGATGCCAATCATTCGAAAAAACGATTACACAGAACATCTGTAAGAGTTGTGGACACTTAAGTACAGAACACAATGTCAACCTGTGACTCATTTTTTTTTTAAAGGCTAAAGCTATTTATATGGAATATTGTTCTATTATACTACACGCCAATCTATATTGAACTTCTATAGTTATGTATTTTATAAGATTTTTATTAAATATATTCTACACATATTTGTAATTTCACCCAGGAAGAATTCCTCCCCAGTGAAAAAAATATAAAATCTTTTCTTTTTTTTATTTTTATTCATTTTTATTTTTTACAGGTTTAGATGAAACTAGCTCATGCTTTAGTGCTGTGCAAATTTCTTTAGCATATCAACGTTTAATTTATTGATATGAAATAAAAGAATGGCATCCTTTTTAATGGCATATGCCTTCAAAAATCAGCTTCTGATTTTAATACAATTGCAAGCACTAATACCAAATGCAGATTACATAAAGAAACAAAACTAGTACTATGGCAGAGGTTTTTCTTTTTGCTTTTTAAACTTTAATAATTCTTTTGACGTCTCTAATGAGTAAGCATGACACTGGACACTAAGGTACAGATGAGAAAATGACCGAAAAACACCAATTGCCAATATTCAAATACATAAAATTGATTAGTAAATGATGTTTTCTAACATTTACGCACAATAATAAAAGCCTATGAACTACAGGAAATTACCCCTCCCATATTAAGGCTAGGAAATGCACTCTCTGCACTTGTTTGTGCTGTCTGAATAAGCACTCAACTAACGGACATGATCAGAGTGCACGCAGTCACGAAAAAATCAGTTTCATCAGCCCTCTACAGAGTGCTTTTAAATTACAGGCACGTAGTTTTTTTTGTTTGTTTGTTTGTTGCAGTGAAAATATACATAGTTAGACTTGGTTTAGTTAGTATTCTGTGCCAGTTCGGCCACCAAGGTTGACTTAGGTAGAATTGACTTAACAGCTTTTCCTTTGATTTGGCCATAGGTGAGATTTGGTTTAATTATACTATTTTCCAGTGTTGCGTTATACGTTGTAGGTTATTACTAGGCGTCTCAAATCTTGTTAGAGATTGTTGATGAGAAATATACTGTCAACCATATTTAGTGCAAATTGCATCTAGAAAGCTTGACTGGTTAGATCCGGCTAATGGAGATTTTTGTGGTAGCAAAATGACTCCTGCTATAGAAAAGAACACATTAACTTTTCTGGAGATTGAATTCTTTCAAGAACTGATGTACTGCAAGATTATTCAACAAACAAAAGCAGGAATTTTTAAAAAAACTAACAATGGAAGTGTTCATAGATTCTTTCTCTTAAAAAAAGGACTAATGAGACAGCGTTCATGTAATATTTCAGTTCCATGGATTTACAGACAGGCTCTTCCTACAAGTGTTTGAAGCAAGGTAGGGCCTCTTCTATTCCAGCAGCATGAAAGACAAAGACTATATTACATCACACTTAGCAGGTAAAGCTAGCAGGGTTTACAGGATTACACAGCAATTGCTTTCTCCAGTTTTTTCACGGTTCCTTTGACCTGTTGAGCAAGAAGAAAGTTTTGTTTACACACCATTTCTAAAGCAATTAGGTTGTTCTGTGTGTAAGTACGCTTGATACAAGTATGGTTTTCATTATTTTTAGTAAAAAAGATAGTATTATACACATGCACATATAACTGAAATACGAATCAGGAGTCGTTTCTAACAATAAAATCAAAAGCTTTTAGGTTTGAGTAAATTTCTGCATTCTACAAAAAACACTAAACCAGAAAGTTCACTTGTTTTTTACAAGCAACATGTACAAAAGCATTGCAGTACTGACTTCACAGAAGACCACAAGGACGTGACTTTTCTCTACTGTGAAACACCCAAAAAGACTGTAAGAGATCTGACTGCTTTGCCACGTACTTGAGTAAGAAATACCTCTAGTGCACAGCGTACCTTGAGAGTTTGGCTCTGGCAACGTCTCTCTAGCCACCAAATGCATCACTGTTGTTTTGCCAAAAGGAAGTTTTAACGCTGCAAAAGGAGAAAGGGAGATCTATTAATACATCTCGGCAGTCGTCTTTCTTCAAAACACCCAGCTGAAGCTAACTGTAATTGGATTAGCATCTGGTCAGAAGTTTGTGCTGTTAGGTTTGAGGTGCTTACTAAATAGATTCCTAAAGGCATTTCTGGATAAAGTTTTGTAGATCAGGGTCTTGGGACCCGGTAACAATCACTTAAAACGTTGTGTTGTTAGAGACGTGATATTCCCCTTAGGAAACTTAGCCTTCCTCTTCTGAGTAAAAGCGGAAGTGGGCATTCATGCCAAGGCTCAGGTGCTAAGCACTCTCTGTTGATCAGGATGCAAAAAAGGGGCCAATTCAGCCACTAAATTCTAACTCCTGAGACATTAAAACACTGAGCCACTACTGCAAAACTGATTTTCCTAAAACATACTTTGACCCGTGATACAGATTTTCTGAAAGACAAAATGTCTGCATCTTGCCTTTTGATCTGCAACCTCGGCTGCATGTGAAAAATACCAAATTCAAAACACTTTAAATCAGATAAGGTAGTTCTCAGAATGTGAACTTTAGTAACACAAAATAACAAAATTAGAGCTTTCCACAATTCACTCTGCTAGTTTCTGAAACTAAAACTATCATTTTCACATTCTGATTTAATTATAGCAACACAGTGCTGTACTTATGGTTTTAGCACTGTAGTATAATATTTATCAAAAATTCTAGTCTGCTTGAAATGAAAGGATTCTCTGTTGCTTAGTATATTTAGCAGATTCTCATTGCCAGATTCCATATGCTGAACTTTGACTTCTTCCAATTAAGGGGTGGGGGTGGGGTGGGCGTAGAGTTACTTTTACAAGTTTTTTACATAACTTTAATTTTGTTTGCTCTCTCCAACTCCTAAGATTAAGCATCTTCCTTGATTATTTTTCTGAGAAATGTAAGGTAAAGATGCTCTAAGTTTTGTCCTCCCCTCCCCCTCACAGAGTTTGAAAAAAGTTAGTGATAAACATAAGAATTTAATCCTAAATACACAAATCATTCCTACTTAAGTAGAATTTGTTCTCTCGAATTCAATTTACATGTTCTGTTTTCACACACAGTGCACCAAGGCATTTTAAGTGAATAAATGAATAATGAACGTCCAACAAACCTGAAGGTAACTGAAGAGAAAAACACCCCCTCTGGATTTTAATCACTACAGCATAGATTCAAAATTCAGTAACAAAAAAAAAAAAAACCAAACCAAAAAACAAACACAAACCACAAACAAACCCACTATTTGGTTATTACATGTATTCGGTACAAGCCTAGCTACAGCACTGCTATTAAATCATGTTCATTGCCTATGTATTTGTTTGAAAAACCGCAAGTTATGATTAAAGTACAAGTGTAAGCACATGGAGGGACACGCAGCTCCACAAGCTTCATTGGAGCAGCTGTACTTTGGGAAAAGCCATTTCTATGGAAAGTCCGGTCTGAAAGTTGCTTCGTTTACTTGAAGCACTGCCTGCGCCTGCAACTAGAAGCTATCGATAACTTAAAGTCTGACAGGGATGAAGTATTTTGGGTACTTGATTCTGTGATACAACTGGAAACTCTGCAAAGAGCATATTAACAGTCTCTTAAACTGGAAAAGGATTATCTTCATGGCATACACTCTTAAGAAGCCATTAGAGAAACAGCAAAATATTACAAATTAATCACTTTAGGGACATCTTTCACATCAAGCAACTTGAGGAGACTTGATTATAGTGAGCTGTGGAGACTAATTTTTACAGTAATCAAGTAAAAGTATGCTAATATTTCAACTAACTAATTTCAGCTAGTAGTTTGCACAGTTCACGCAAGTTTGTATCGGCAATTTCCAGCTTCTTGCTCAGAGCACCGAGACAGAGTCTGAGTACCCTCACCCACGCTCGGCAATCCTTTCTTGTTCTTGTCTTCTTTCTCTCACCCCTTTCTCTCACTTCAACTAAACTTTTATTTAATTCCTTTCCCATCTGTTTAATTCCACTTTTATTCCAGATTTGCTATTGTCAGAATTTTACTTTTCGCCCCCTCTTTTGGTATGTGCATGGCACATGGTGGGTTGGCTTTGCTTCCCATCCCCCCTCCCCAATAAATAAGTAAAACGTTGCTGATTACCATTATCTAACCAGAAAAGGAGAACTGTCAATTATGTATTATCTCACTAATTAATATTACTTCAAATGCAAACTGCAGACCAAATATTTAGCTAAAGGATGAAATTTCCTGTTGGAAGCCGAACAACAGACTCTGCCTTGCTAGCTGATTCCCCAGCCCTGCACACAGGCAGGCCACAACAGAACGGTGTGGCTCAAGCACCGCAGGCAAGAGTGGCACGGCAGGCTTTACAGAGGGGTCTGGTTTTCTTTACCAATTCCAATGCCATTAGCTGTACTGTTCTTGTAGTGACAGTCCGTTCAAAGAAGCTGGCAAAGGGAGATGGTTTCTTTAAGATAAAATTTTCCACTCAAAAGCCAGGTTTTACTATCAATTCGCCATTCTTTGAGGCTGCTTAGTTTACAGGAGTCTAAAATTCATAGGACACTATGTAGGCACGAGAGATTCCAACACGAAGATCACAGTGTCATTTTTAAATGTGAACAAAACTGGACTCCTGTTAAAACACACCAAACTGATTCCTTGGAAACTTTTGTTTCACTAGTTGATAAAGTGATTTTCAGTACACAGTAGGTTCAAATTCCAGTCAGTATTTCCTAATTACCTAAAGCAAATAAAACACTAAGTGCTATAACTCAGTTACAGAGAGCTACAGATTGAAAAGCTTAATGGAACTGTACTGTTAACAGCATAAGAAACTAAATACTGTATTCAGCAAGAAATTCCCTCCCTCCCCCCTTTTAAAGACAACTAGTTCACTTAGGGTTACGTCTAATGAACAACCATAAACTGAAGCAACAGTCTTTTCAGGCTTCTTCATGAATCGCTGTTCCCCTTTCAGCTGTATGATCTTACTCCAGATAACTTCATTAGTATTGAAGTAAGCCAATGTTTCAGGGATTTTTTTTTCCTTAAAACAACACATCAGCAAAAAGATGTTTGAAACACACTAATACACATGTAAGATCCTTCGGGTAAAATCACGATGATTAAATTGCAACGCCTGAATGGTTAAGAACGAACTAAAATGCCCTGAATCCAAGTAAACGTTCAAAATCCCTAGACCCGAGTTAATGCAAGAGTCCACAGCACGCAGCTATTATTTTTCAGCTTAACTCGTTAAACAAGATATTAAATGTATTCAACACACATTCAAAGTTGTTTCACATTTAGACAAATGTCACTAAAGGGAACAAGCACTGGTCAAGAGTAACACCTTGAAATGAATGGCAAAGAAAATCCCTTTTAGCTATCCTTGCCTGGAAAATGTACAGTAAGACTAAACTATAATTGCAGAGACAACCCAGGATTTAACAACTGTCTTCCAACGCTACTCCAACTGCAACTAGCTGCACTCACGGGCACCTGGTAAACATACAAATTAAAGTGTGAATAAAAATTTCAGAGTTCTCCCAGCTGAATCGACAATGATCTTGTTTGTACATACAGCGGCATTAAAAATTGATCTATATGGAGAGCAAATCTATGCTAAAAGTACATCACCAGCCACCATTGGTAATGGTAGAAAGCAAATCAATGGCTATATCATCCCAGCCACTCCTTCACCGAAAGACCACCACATAAGCAGTCCAGAAACACTCTTTTCAGGTTCATCTTAACTTCAAAAACATTTAGTGATTTTGTCTTATATTCTCCTCTGTGTTGCACTCAAATGCATGAGCAATCTAAACATACAGAGCAAGTAGGAGTAGTAATTTATTTTTAAACTGGCACGGAGAAGAGTCTCAGATATTCACACTGGAGACTTTTATCTACAAAATGAAAGATTATTGTTACAAATGTGTGTTGTATCTCTACCAAAGATACCCATCAAAATACGTAATTGTGGGGAAAAAAACTTGCCACAAGGGGGCATAGTTGAATTGCGTTTCCTTGGCATATGAAGTGAAGCCATTTACTTTTGTTTTCGCATAACTATGCAATTGTATCCCTGGGAGAGCACTGGACAGCAAGAATGCTTCCCCTCATTCTCATTCATAGGGTGTCTTCCTTCATTGCACTGAGATTTAAAGTATTGTTTAACCAATTATCATAATCTTTATCAAACATTTTAAAATACTTAAGGCATTTATAAAGCAGCTCACCCTGTAAGTGCAGTTTAAGACAGGTGGAACAAAGTATTCCATTTAGAAAGACAAATAAGAGCAGTATTACTGTTTCTTTATGCAAGAGGAGACTTGACTCACCAGGTGGTACCTCCCAAAGTTTAACAACTAGTGGTAACAAGATGGAAAAATACACAATAAGACACGATGTCACCATGCAGAGGTAAAATAGTATATAGCAAGCCATAAATCTTGAACAGTACAGTAGTATTTACTGCACTGTAAATAAACATCCCTTTTGCCTGGCTGTAACATGGGTGAAGATTATTTTCATACCTCCTAGTGTCACATTGCCATGAAGAAACCTCCCTTGATAAATAAGCCGCAAGATATTTGGACTGCTGACTTGTTCTTCTTCCCAATCTGAAAAGCAGCGAGAGAATTTGCACAGTTAGATTGTAATAAAAACATCTTCTGTTATTTCTCTCACCTTTACCCAGGAAGAAAACTGACAACTGGACTCTCTTGCATGAAACACTAAAGAGAGAACATACGCTGAAGATAGATAGTTCAAGACTAGCACTCCTAAAATCTACTCTTGAATTTATTATTTGACATTGGGCATTGAAGCACATAATTTTATGGCTGTAAGTATAAACACTACTAGCTTGCTTCACAGATTGCATGAGATACTTAGCACATATACAAGCCCTACACTTTAAAACATTTCATAAATGTGAGTTTCTTCCTGAGGCTTAAATATCCACTTGGCTAAAATTGCCGTTATTTCTTCCCATTCAGAAGATTCTCAAGCCATGCTCCCCCTCACCAGCTAACTGTCTAACTGGAGCTGCTCTCCAGCAACGCAAAGCACACAGCAGAAGCGCATGTGATGGGTCATTTGAAAGGGGATTCTCAGATCACAGCGCTGAAAGGGCTGCGCAGGCTGCTCAGCAGTGTTCGATGATGGCCAGATCCAACCAGTTACATGTCCAGCGGGGGCAGTGACCTGAGCAGCAGGTCGCTGCCGAGAGCCTGAACAGAGGGCTCTCTGAGCAGGCACTGCCTGATGCATTTGAAGGAACTTCTCAAAGGACAATCTGTGGATGTTTTTATGTGGCAAACAGTGATTCGGGAAAAGCAAGCATGCATTTTCCTATAATGCATTTCCTATAATGCTTAAGCCATCATAAATAATTTACAAGCTTAAATGATCTTTTCCTACTCTTTTACTGTTCCCTGTCACAATGCGAACAACAAATAAATATGCACTTTGCTTTCAAAACAAATATTGTAAAACCTTGAAATGCTGAATTTAAATAGGCTCTCTGGGAATACAGTATCTTCTGTTTCTCAGCTGACCAGATATCTGGCAACAGCTGTTCGCAAATGTTCTCTCTTTCTGCTTTTGTAGTGTTTATATACCAAAATGAATATTCAGCAAGGGATCATGACAAGCAACAGAAACCAACCTGTTCACTGGGAACATACAATTAACATATGGGCAGTAGCAACTGGCACCACAAAAGGAGAAGAACTGAAAAGGGGAGAAGAGGAAGCATTTAAAACAAAAGCCACGGCTGCGGAGAATATGGAGAGGCATCTGGTGTGAAAAAGCAAGCAGGCAGAGAGGCAGGCAGCAGGAGCCATCGCAGCCCCAGAACACGGCAGAGGCAGGGCTGGCATCAACAGCAGAGGCTGCAATATCCCTGGGTGCTGCCATGTGCCTAGTTTATAAGATTAAATCAAATAAGGCAACCAAAGCTATTTGAATTTCAACTATTTCCAGTCAGGGTCTGATTCAATTGTCCTGCAATTCAAGCACATGCCCTTTTTGCTATGCTGTGAAGTGGGCTACGTTATGGATCTGAATTATCACATTGCCAGGGTAAATGATTTTTTTGGAAGATACCAAATTTATTTTATTTTTTTTTTACTCTGTACCGTCTGAACCCTACTACACAATGGCTGCAAAGAGGAGAGGTTCAGCCAGTTTATGGTGCTATAATGACATAAACCAGCAACTGAAGGAAGGCAGACTCTTTGTTGGCACAGGTATTTGCTCATTGTTAAGCTGCCAATTTACCCATCCTTTTAATTTTTGCTTCTTGGCTGGCAGTCTGAAACATTTCTTTCTGACATGATTTCAAATTTTAATTTCCATTGATGATAAAATGGGCCAAGGAGAAAATATTTACCTACGACCTTTTTTTTTTATTTTTTTTTTAAAGTGCAGCAGATAATCACTGTACAAGAAAAAAGTTTATATGATTCAGAATGTGTGGGGAGAGAACAGCTAACCTACCTAGATGGCATACATTAATATAAATTTGGCATTTTCCGTACAAGTCAAGAGATCTTTAGGGAACAACTGAATTGCCAAAAGAGGGGAGGAGAGGTTTGCCTTAATCCTACCAGCATGTGACTGAGGATATTTTCATGACTACTTTCCCCCACAAGATCATGGTAAGTCAAAATGATGGTAAAAACAATCATTTCATATTATCTCTATTTCAAGGAAACTAGTCCTCGTCAAGATTTCTGAGTCATTTGGCAAAGAGCACTCTCAGTATGAAAAAAGCTAGTGGGCTAATGTTTGTGAAAAGCTATATACTATTCTGAAGTAGATTTTTCCTCAGTCTTTTAAATTGACATTATTCTTCTTTGCACAGGCAATTAAATATTCATCAAGACTTAAAGTACTCCCTCAGGACAGCAGGTATTTGAACTGAGGCTTCTATGTCCGGTTCTAGTGTTCTTTTGCTTTAAAGAACAGCCTTTAAAGTCTGGGTTTCTTCCCAAATCTAAACTCAGAATCTGCACCTTCAAACTCTTCATGAGTCTGGGAATATGAGACTACATGTTTAGGAATAAACTTGAGCAAGAAAAAAACAAAAACCAAAACAGTTCTGCCTTTACTAATTCAGATAAAAGTACACAAAGAACATTTGGTCATGACAAATATGTTGTAGGCACACATTAAAACACATACAATAGCTACACAGATGCTACATCAACCAGATTTCTCAGTGTAAAAGCGTTTTACACGTGTATCTAATACTTCAGAGGACTAAAAACCTCCTCCTCCATTACATATTTTACTAAACATATAATGCTGCATCCCAGCAAAACAAACAGCAACAAGTCTGCTGAAATCCTGTTCTTCCTGTCCTCAAAGACCAGTTTAAGGCCTAAAATATGGATTATCAACACTAACTTTTTGGCATGAATTATCATCCACCATACTTCTTTGATGAAGGCATCACAGAAACAGATATTGCAATGTTTTAGTTTGTGTCAATAGTAGTCTTTTTTAACATCAAAACAGTACCCCAAATGAAGTCCTGTACCACAAGAAGCATTTTCTTTCATATGTAATACTATGTCTGTGTTTTGGCTATTTTCCCATGAAATCATAGCTGGGGAGAACAGAAGCACTTTGTTTTTGTGGAATTATTCACATATGTGAATGCACATCTTAAGCTTTCAATTCCATTTTCCCAGCTAGTATTCCTGCATAACACCAAATATATTCATACAAACAACCTCAGTTTCCCTCGGTCTGTTGATGGCTTGAAAATATTTTTTTATATTTGATTTTTTCCTGGGAAAATATCATTATTATAGATCCTTTCAAAGATAAAGCAGTAAGGGAGAAGTATTTCAGACTCAGTTTCACTAATGCATTCCTGTGACACACCATGTTTGACGTTAGCTGTCCTCACATAAGAGGTTTTATATCTGCAACATTCCCTCACCCTGACTAGATCCTCTAACAAGATTGATCAAGAAAAGTTCTAAATATAGGGGGAAAGTAGTACTTCAGTTTGGGGAAGAAAATTTTTGAAATAAAAGTGGGAAATAGTCCACACATCTTAAAAATCTGCCCAACCAAAGAAAGAGGGGAAAAAGAAGGAAAGACGACAACTGTATTTCTATATAAATCTATGCCCAGATAGACGTACTTTGAGAACAGAGATTGATTTATTGACATTGTAGTCTGAAAATACAGGGAAGCTTCTAGCTTGCCAGTTAAAAACCAAAGCCACACAGCTACTTACCCATCGGCCAGTTGTCATACACATGTTTTGCAATATCTGCAGCAGAGTCATTCGGTGAAAATAGGAACTCTTTCGTTTTCCCGCTTACCAAGATGAGGCGCAAATTTATCTGTAAAAAAAGAAAAGCACTATTAGGAAAGAATCCAGAGAAGTCTTAAATTATTATTATTTTTTTAACGTTACTGAGAAGTCGCCACTGGTTTTAGAAGAAGATTGATCCAAAGTGATTTGAGAAAACAGCTTAAGGTAGTGTTAAAAACAGGGTCAAAGAGGTCAATAAAATTTTGTTTCTTTACACATAATCTAGGAAGACTAAATTCTAACAGCTGGCATTTTTGATGATAAACACCAGAAGGTTCTGATAGGTAGTGACTGAATCAACTGTGCCATTAAAAAACTTTCAACCAAGACACACTGACAACATATCTTCTTGAACGAAGAAGAAAAACACAAACCTGAAAAGTTAACCCAAATAGAGCACCAAAAATATCAAAGTCTTCACTTGAATAGCCTGTGAGCCTCAGTAAAAGCCCTAGCACACTCCCTCCACTATGATATTTGTCAACCCTGATCTCACCCACTGCATCTCCTATAAAACACCAGGGAGACAGGCAGCATCCTTCCTCAGTCCCAGCTGCCACAGAACTTGAATCCCTCTGTCAGCCTTCTGAACCCAAAACTTTGTTCCACCACTGTCTTTCACTACAAGCAAAGTGGTTGAGATCCACATGCAATACGGTAACACCACCAAATCATAGTTTTTCTATAACAACCTCCTTTATCTAACCATCAGCATCTTCAGCTATAATTTTCCTCTCTTCACAAGTTATCGAATCCAACTCCTTTTCCATATAGCGTTAAAATAACCTCTATAAAGAGCTCACTATGGCATTACTTATGATGCAAAAGAGATTAAACTTTGGCTCCTTAAGCAACTGCTTGCAAGGCCACAAAATGCGTTTGGGTAGCCAGCACTTACCAAAACCCATGCTAAGTAGGAGTCCAGCTCCTTTTGTGTTTTAGCCTAAAAGCCTAAATTGCATCAACTTTTAGCAAGACTTTAGCATACTACTGCTTGGATACTTCTTTCCAAATCACACTCTCAAACTGTGGCTCTCATTTTAAGTTAAGTTGCAATGAAGCTTTCCTTGTGGGAGTTCAGTGAACTTTCTTCTAGATCAAATACAAAAGGAAAAATTTACAGCAATGCCCAAGTTTTCAAGACTTTTTCAGGGTCAAAAGTCTCAGCATATCATATCCACTGAACAAGCCAGCCTTGCCTCGTTACCTACTCCCCACTTACTTCAGAAGCTCTCCAGACAGATTGTCTACGCTCTCTTGAATTCTTTGGCTTGGATTCATCCCACCTATCTTTAAGCACCTAATGGAGGTATCCAAATTACAATCTCTAACATCCTGCACACTTCAAAGCCAATGAAGAAAATGACCCTTCCAAAAAGCCATTCAGTCTCTATCTCAAAGCATAGCAAGGATAAAAAGAGTCAGCATAAAAGTGCTAGGTTCCCCTCCCTGTCCCCCTACTAATGCCCTTCAGAAAATACAAGTTCTGCCATTAGCCCAGGAAAGAAGCCAACTGGTCGCTGTGTCTGAGAAAGCACCACAGCCACTGTTGCTGCATACCGGGAAATTGCGAAAAAACTTAACGGACAGAAGTTGCCGGAATGCTATTTAGTCAAAGACAATTTATTCATAAAATTCATAACACTTTTGGCTATAAACATTAAAGTTCCATTTTCTTCTATATTTCCAGGATGATTAAGGAATTGTTTTCAAATCTCACCAAGATTTAGCAGACCAAGTTCTTCCACTATTCCTATTTACTCCAAAAACCTGATTACTGTAAAGAATTACAACTTCAACATATTATGTCTAAATTTAGCCATGGGCATACCATGTCCACTTGTCATTTTGCTTAGATTGCCTTTCAGTTTAAGTAGTTCCCCCCCTCTTAGCTGTCTCCACCTGTGTATGTATAAACAATGCTTACATATGTAGTTTCTTAAGCTGGACTCCCCATGTCAAGCTCTTCAAGCTTTCTCTAGTGGGACATCCATTTCCCCATTCATCCTAGGAGCCTGTCTCTGCACATTTCAATTTCTTCTCTTTTCTCCTCAAAACAGATCACTATTTCTGAAGCACACTGAATGATGTCTCACCAGATAGTTGTACTAATTTCCTCTGTCTACTGGAAACATCTTCCCTGATTGCGTCCCCAGAGCACATACACCTTCTTCATAACTGCACCACACATTTTTCTCAGTTCCTTCGTACCCTTCTCTACTTTGATCCTTTCAATTGCACAGCCTCCAAGCTTGCAACTGGCAGTTTGGCTGTAACACCATAAAGCGCAAGGCTCCAAACTTCATCCCACTCCTATTACTCCATCCCTCCCAAAGAAAGGAGGCTAGGTAGAAACAAGTATTCTGCACCACAAAGACTTTTCAGTTGTCCCCCACATCTGGGCCCACAGCCTATGAAATCCCCCCAAAATGTCTGTGTAAATTCTTTCTCTCTATGTTAAGAGTATTTTTCAAACTTCATGACACCAACAAATTCTAGCAGCAAGATGCCTTTACAGGCACCTTTGTCATTAAATGGATTGGGAAATGTAAGACTGATCTGACAACTGATCCATAACGATTCCAATAACGAGCTCTCTCTGAGCTGGTTTCTCTCACTCCTCTCAGCTACGTCCTTTACATTAGGCCTTTACACACACCCACGATTTCTCTGTTAAATCCTAATTTCTCTTATTTAACCAACAGTTTGCAATACAGCACCACATCAGTTACTACGTACATATTCGGATGAAACTGTAAAAACGTCTCAGTAGAAAATAAGTTCTTTTCATCAAAAGTCAGCTTGCCACGCTCCGGCTTTCAGAGGCATGGTGTACTGTGCTCCACTCCACTTTCTCTATACCTCATTATCTTTAATTATCCTTTAAGCGTTAATGCATCTCATTACAACAGCAACATACTGCCAAAAATTTAGGCGGCATCACAAACTGTTATTGTACTTGGGAATGGGCGGCCTGTTTAGAAAACAAACAAAGCAACCAAGCCCAAATACTGGGCAGCAGTGCCTGCTGTGGGCGCTAGTGGTGAGGAGCTGCTTCACCAGCAGCTCTCCTGCCTCTCACCCGAATCTCCTCGCATACATTTACCCAACTCTACCTGGCTCCTGAGACCACCCTGCCTTAGCTTGCTCCCTCTGGCCAAGTAGTCCCCTGACTCTGATTTTATGCTGGTTACCCAAGGATTTCTTTTCGTGCATCTGTGTGTAGTTCACCTGCGCAAGGGATTACCTGGTTTGAAGATCATAGCACTTTCCTAGGCAGTAGGCATGATACCAAACCATCAGCTCCCTAGAACTATCTGATTTGGATCTTACAAGGAGATGATTAAAGAAACCTCAGAAGATTAATCCTGCTCAACGCTTAAAATATGATCAGGGCACAGCATTAATATAGAACTAAAGTGATTCTTCAGCTAGCATAACATTAAAGAGACACATTGCTTTTTATGCTTGCTACTGAGTTCCGAGATTATTTGGCACACTAAAGCAAATACAGAAAGGAAAAGAATATCATAGAGAAATAACCAAAACTAACTTGGCTTCCTGGAAATTTTAAAGTCATACTTCTGCAGCTAACATACAATGTAAAATCAATATAAGGAACATGGGTAAGGAAAAAAAAAAAAAAAAAAGGTGAGAAATGTTAGTTCCTTCCTCCCCCTCTACCTCTCCAAGATGGATAATTTAGTAGTAGTGATGTTTTTTGTTGCTGAAGAGCATTTCTTACATTCTTATTGTGAAATATAAAAGACATCTCAAGATAAACTAATAACTTTACAGGATATACTATATAGTATGTTTAAAATGCAGGAGGAATATTTTCATTTAAAAAAAAAAATAAAAATCACCAAATATCAGCAGAAGCCCAAAATAAATCCTTAAATCAGTCAAGCAGATGTTGCATCAAGTGCAAGGAAACAGCTGCTCTAATGAAAGGTTAAAGTATTTTCTTATTTATAGTACAGCATGCCACTGATACATTTAGTTTGCATGTTTGTCTATATATATAAGTGCATATATATACGATATATATCTCTTTATATTTCTTAATCTTGGCTTGAAGGAATCTAAGTCTTGAGTTGCACATCACGCTACCTCAAAGGGTTTGAAGCAAAGAATCCCAACACTTGCTTTTAAATTTAGAGTCTAATCTCATTCCCCTCAAGAGCATTGGGAAATTTAATGGCTTGAAACTGCTGTACTACTAATTCTGCAAGCCTGAGAACCCCACTTCAAACAAACTATGGAGGAACTGAAACAAACCATTCTGGCAAAACGCCACTAATGAAAGTTCGTATCTAAACGAAAAAAAAAAAAAAAAGAAAAGAAAAATAAAAAGGGCATATGCGTATACACATTTACTCAAATGAAAGTGCAGGTAAAAACCACTTGATTCAGTAGAGAAGGTTTGACAGAAAACCAGGAAATTTTAACTTTGCAAATTATGAAAGGATTCTTAGTGGTCTTCGCTACCCTGCATCCTACTTCCTACGTTAGAAGTTAGCAAAGAAGTTGTATCTGTATCCCTTGTACGCTTAAAGCCCCTCCACCTGTTCTTGTCAAAAGAGTCTTGGTCCCGAGACGTTCTCGCAATTCTCGTGGCCCTGACAAGTTCGCTCTTCCACAGGTAACACAACAACAACCGTCCTGATTTTTGATTATTTTTTTTTTCAGGCTACCAAACGGAATTCCAGCCTTTTGCTACAGCAAACTGATAAGGATCATCATCTCACACTTCTGCATTAGAGCACCAACTGCAAAGTTACAGATGAAAGCAGTTAAGAGCAGCTACAGTATCAGAAGTAGGATTAAATACAATTTGTGGACTACAACCCCTCTGCACAGTTATATAATAGCACATTCTGTTTGTGATCTCAAGCATGCAAACCTTGCCCTCTCTCCCCCCACGCCACAGCCAACACCAATCTCACAATTACAGCTCCAGTAACTACCCCATCAGTTGCATCGCATACACAATAAAGAATTTCAGTGTTGATTATATACTGTAAA